ATTGTGGGTGATACTGGTTGGGGCAAACTCCGGTAGCCGACAGGTAGGTCGGCGCCGCATATTACCATCTAGTGGGGTAACATCACCGCCACCTCTCGAGGAAAAAAACACTTCCACTACACTTAAAGGACTAATGACTTTAGCAGTTGACGCGCCCTGAAGCACTAATTAATTGTAGAACATTTTGAATGATATTGAGGCTTCATGTGAAATGCCCCCCAAAATCAAATGGTGTTTATTTTTAAATATCAGGGAATCTAGATTGTCCGGATCAATTGGGGAATAACAGTCTTCGAAAGAAAATAACTAAACAGTATACCATGGCCACAGACGGACGTTTTGCCTTCAATTGTGTTTTCGGTTCAAGGACCCAGAGAACTGCATATACGTGTGGAAGAAGGGCCTGGGTCCCTCCGACTCTCATCTTCGCCATGCTGTCGCTTTCAGCAACCCCTGTAATAAGGAATTAATTAAAACAACAATAATAATAATAATAATAATAATAATAATAATAATAATAATAATAAATACAAAAGTGTTAGTGGAATCATTTCATTGCGAATAGGAATCATTGCTATTCAATTTGTAGACACTTGGCGCAGTTTTTCTACCGAAAAAGTGTTGGTTTTTGTGACTACATTACAATGTAATCTCTTTACTAAGTACTTAGTAAAACGAAAAGGAAAATAAAACCTATTAAAAATCGGCCATTATAGGCAAGGTATCTATTTAGCAAGAGTTAGCAGGAGTTGTGCAAAGTACCTTGGTACCTTGGAATCCTAATCCATGTATTTTGATAAAATATCAAAATGTTTTTGGCCACAGTTAGTGCTTCTTCCCTGGTTTGAATGAAAATCAGATAAGAGAAACACTTTTATTTTGTGGTGAGATTGGTTGGGAGATTGATTGATTGGTTATTTAGATGGAAAACAAAGAATGGACCTTACTGATATTGTGCCTATGAACCCACATTAGAAATGCCAAGCAGACCCGAACGGAATTTTTATTAAAGATCGCCAAGTAAATAACAAGGAAACCCAAAACGAGAAACCTGATATAATAAAATCAACAACTCTGTTACAAATTTTTTGATTTGCGAAATATTTTTCGCTTTTTTTTTAAAGAGAAAAAAATAAAATATTTTTCTTCCAATATTACCCAAGAAAACTAAGGAACTTTGAAAATATTTCTCTCCAAACTCTAAAACACTTTACGATCACGGCTTCAAACCATTTTTGCAATTTAATCTAATACTGACACTTCTGAAAAAAGTTCTTTAGCCTGTAGGGCTCGTCGCAGAAATTCAATGATTATGGATGCTACATTGCCAATGTAGGCAACCTGAATGCCCCCGTCTCCTTTATATGAATTACATTAGTTTGATTTCCGTTGTTTCATTTCTATTTAGTAAGCATTACTGATTTTAGTATTCAAATTTCTGTTGATACCATCATTTATATCCCCTAGTAGACTCTTAGCTTTCTTCTGTAACTTAGTGTGAAATATCTGCTGTCTTCCTGAAAGAACTATTCATCGATTCCGCATAATCCACTCTCCAATTTTGTAGTTTCATTTAATCTGAATTCCACAGTCTGGAAGTAAGTGGCAATCGCTGTTCCGCTGACGTATGCCTTGTCGGTCGATAAGTTAAAAGAATCGCTAATGCACACACCAAACAAGTTTCATATAGACGTAAAAAGTGCATTATTAGACTTTTCTGGAATTACTTTTTATCTTGAGTTCGTCGGTGTTTGGTCACTATCATTCTCTACCTATCGACCCTGTTTGCCTTTAATTTTGACGGAAATTGTTTTTTTACAAAATTATTTTGGGATGAAAAATGTTGAATTTTTTTCCAAGATGAGATCTTTTAATTGACAAATTCAGGATTACTTAGTGCATTATAATATTTTTCTTTTGGATTCCTATGACCTGGAAATATAATGAAATGAAATAACTGACAGGTAACAAAGTCGGTCACGAGGAATCCATGGACCGTCACAGTTTCTACGGATGATTTGACGTTGCCATCTCAGCGAATGGCGACCAGAGTGAAAGACCTCGGATTTTAAACTCACTCTGATAAAAAATCATAAAACATCACAGTTCAAGACATTTGTACTTATTTCACATTGCTCTTGTGCCAGACTTTGCGAATAATAATACAATGTTCAATTTCTGCATATTTTTTCTGTTTTAAAACGATTGAATATAATACATATTTCTGTACTTTATCTATGTTCCGTGTATTTACGCATAATTTATTTACATCTTACTGCCAACATATCGACACACCAAGTTCAAAAAGGCAATATCAAAATCGACTAATACTTTTGCAAGAAAAATAAAAATTGACTTTACGGAAAATATACGTAATTTTATATTTTCTTATAATATATAAATGATCGGCTGAGACGGAAATTTGGCAGCGAATGGAGGCTATAAAATTAAACATAGTTAAAAAACAATAATGTTGTCATGCGCCATTTTTTCAATTTGCTAGAGAAGGTGTAGTGAAGTGAATGAGAAACTTGTGTAGTTAAATAACAGAACAGTTGAGTTGTATGTTCACATAGAAACGTGCGGTCCTTTGCAACGGTGAAGATTTATATATCGTCACCCCAAACGCCAACTAATGGTTTATAATGCGGTTTTCTCGAGGTTTTTGTGTCCATCCATATTGATCGGGGAAGATCAATTTTCAAGAGAAGACGGTTTAGATGCAGGGTTGACCAAAGACAGACATATGCGTAACCTTCCGCGGCTCGCATCCATGAATCCTGCCCCTCCCGAGAGCCCAGGCAGGATAGTTTAAATCACCGGGCGCGTAGCGCCGCAGCGTCTCTGCCCTGAGGAAGCCTGCGAAATGTCAGGCGAAACGTCGGCACCCCAGCCAACGACGCGGCGTCTCCCGGATAGCCGAGAATTCAAAGACAGACATTTTGCCATCAATCAATTGTATTTTTATCAAGAAATCACAAAGCATGGATTCTGTCTACACTCTGCGACTCTACTACATATTGGAATATAACTTATCCCTTTTTACATACAATAACACCACAATACGGATTATTTCTGCTTAAATCGTCGATTTCTGCCGCAATATTGCAGTATTTTTACTTTATCTCTACCACTACCAGATAGAGAAATGTATGTAATGTGCGAAAAAAAGGCGAATTTTCAGCAGAAAACTCTTCTTAAAGGGCTCTGGAAACAAAAAAGTGGATAAAACCAGTTGCTAATTTTAGGAAAAATTCTCTAACACGTGGTGTACCCGTATCCATGTTTTGTGGATCCTTGATACGGAAAAATCGATTGACCGCAAAATGTCACTCCAGCCGTCCGTATGTCTGTGAACAATGCTAGCGGCTGAACCGTTCAGCCAATTTTCTTCAGAATTGATATTCCTTGCGGGTTTTTTTCATTGTGGGTGTTTGTTAGGAGCATATATTTCGTGGCTCAGGTCTGAAACATGTATAAAATTGGGAGTAGCCGGTTGATTTGCGCGTTACCCAAAAGTATTGATAAAGCTGTATGTATGACCCTGATCGGATTATTTCAATCTTCATTAAATGAATGTTGGTAATAGCCACTTAGGGCTTGCTTAAGTAAGTCGATAACATAACCCGAGTACGAAGCGCCGATCACAAGAAGTATTTTAGAATGAAAATGCGTTCCAAATTATGCTTTGCACAGAACCAAAATGGTTTTCTGTGTTTTCCTGGAGGCCGATGGCTGGACTTTCATCACCTCAACTCTCAAATGCCAATTGAAGCTTCGTCCGAGAAACCTATATTTAATTAGATAAAGTTTAATCAGATGTTGTGCGACATTTAAATAAACGAAATGACACAAAGGAAATTACAGACCTTGTGCCTCAATAGTCTTTGAAATTTCCCACGAGCAGCCTTATTCCTGTTTATCACATAATACCTGCTATTTGTCGACATCGAAACGTACTTCATCTACCCTAGCCATCTCGTGTTGGCTAATGTCACCTTTTCCCAGATGTATTCTGAAGTGTTTCCAAGCCGCCATACCTTACCGTGTGTGAGGGTTTAGTGTGAGAGAGAGGCCCTATAAGGGATATAGTAATGACTTAAATGTTTTCATCGTAATAAATCTAACCACTAAAATACTTACTCTTTGCAAAATCCTCTCTAATCTGTCATATGAAGGAATTCACGTTCTGCTGAAAAACGAGTATAACATCTAACTAAAAAACTATTTTAAAAAAGGAAGACGAATGTAAAAGCATTTTATAAATACTAATGTGGTTATATGTCCATTTGAGAAATAGAAAAAATTTGAAAATCTATGAATTCGCCGGAAAAATCACACAAGCGTACGATGTTAAAACAAGTCATTATTTCAAATCCGAATTACGATATTTAACCTACGGAATTTCCTACAGCCATTTAAACAAAGAACTTACCTCGTTCATGGCTTCCGTTTTAGATTTTCATTTTGGTTCTCTAACCTTTGGGCGTCAAGAATTGATATGTTTTTCTTGTTCGCAAGCACATTAAGGGATAAGACCCCCTTTCCAACACATAACACACTGTTAATATATGTTGTTGTTTTTTTAACCAAGGAAAACGAGTGTAAAAGCAAGATAAAAAATGAAACGAGTGTAAAAGCATATTATAAATACTAATGCTGTTATAGTTCCAAAATAATATACCATGCATATTTCTGTTCATACTCGTACTGGTTTGTTTGAGAAATTTGGAAATCTATGAATTCATCGAAAAAAATCACACAAACGTATGTTGTTAAAAAAGTCATTATTTCAAATCCAAATTACGATATTCAACCTATGGAATACCAGCCATTTAAACAAAGAAGTAACCTTGTTCATGGCTTCCGTTTGTAGATATTCATATTGATTCTCTAGCCTTTGGATGTCAAGAGTTGATACGTTTTTCTTGTTCGCAAGCATATTAGGGAGTAAGACCCGTTTTCCAACACATAACATACTGATGATATTTTTTTTCCAGAGCCACCGGACACTCCCATCATTCTGGATGCGAGCGGTGTAGAGATCAGCACGGCGGGCCCCTTTCGCGAGGGCTTCGAGATGGAGCTGCAGTGCGCAGTGACTGGAGGTGAGGAGTGTTTCAAATACGCACGCGAAACGTTTCTGGAAAATGATGCTACTGGTTGTCGTCTTACGTTGTCCTTTTGAGGGATGTTTTTAAAGTAACGTTTGCAGTTGGAAAAACCAGGAAGGTGACAGTAATCAAGGAGTTTGAAATCATTTAGTGGAGAGTTAATTCGATGGTGCTGTGCTATCTTTAATGCCTGACTGATATTACTACGAAGTATCATCTTTCCAACATGCAATACAAACATATTGTTATCATCAGTATTTCAACAGGTCAGGGTTTCCTGGTGCGTTTTCATAACAGATTTTCTCGTTAGGTATATTCATTGTTTATTGTTGTTCTGTTAGAATTAGTTCTTTACCATAGCTGTAATGTGAGTTTTTCCTGTGTGTGTGTGTGTGAATATGAACTGTGGTAATGCTGTACTAGTTATTCCAATTAATTTAAATTTTCTTCTACACTGAAATGATTGAACGTTGCTTTCGAGAGTATTTCAAACTATTCATAGTGAATACAGTAGTTGTTACAAAACGCCTTTGAAGCAAGAGATTCAGGCAGGCAACAGTGCAACAACCTGACACCTCCGCGATGCCTCCCCGCGGCGGCGGCAGCGACGTGTTGTTACGGCCATAGTCAGTCGCTTCAAATTAGATTTCCATTTATTTAGTCAAAAAACAGTAAAAACTGTGTGACGTATTAGGGAGAAGATCATCTGCGCACGTTTTCTTGACATCCAGAATCCCTTCCCGTCATTTTAACTGTAAATAGTTGAAAAATGAATAAAAGATAAAAACAGATTTAAAATAATAATTATAATATTTTTAAAAAATCGCGACAGTAGCGACATTTGAAAAACTAGGCATTTTCGTTCTCGAGTTACAGGAAACGTATTTGCATCAGTAGGCGAATTGCAGATATTATTTTTCTGCATTGCTAGCAAAATAGTAACTCATACTTTCCACTACTCCTACCATTACAAGCCAAGGGAGAGTTTAACAAAGGGCTTGAGGCATATGCTCTCGCACACGCGTTAATGCGTCAAGAAACATTCGTCTTGTTTGCTGTCGTTCCCGGTCGTGTTGTACAAAAATTCTACCAATCATCAACTTTTGCGATTCTCGGAATACATTCAGAAAGGCTTCAAAATAAAAAGCACATTGTCGGGATTTTTATTGTCCTCACCCAGATCTATGATAGAGTATAGCATAAAGCAGTGAACTACAAATTAACAAATCTCGGTACCTCACATTATCTCACTCAAGTAATATCCAACTACGTTGACAATATAACGTTTTCTGTCTCCATCGACAGTCATCATACAATCCGATTAATTTTCTAATTCATCAAAAATTGATATCTAGCTAATGCTAGATACTAGCTAATCACACCCAAGGAGTGTGGTGATATTTTTAAATTCATCTTGACTTCACAGTTGAACGAAATTGAGACTTTTTTGCCCAACTGTAAATGAGCCTTTCCTCATGTTGATGTTTTTTTATTTTAATTTTAGATATATACATTATGATAATAATAAAGACAAGAAAATAATAAATTAAAAATATCTCTGTATTGAATTTTTCTTATCGTATGACCACGATTTTTCTTATCGTACACACCAGGTGCCTTGGTTGTAAAAAACAAACAAACAAACGACAACTTATTTATAGCTTGTGTGGATAGCGGGACAAAGAACAGCCACATTTCTTGACAGTTTTCACAAATCTGGCATGTTATTGTATTTCACCTTATTTTTAAACGCCACGTTCCCCATTCTTGTGAAGGCGAGCCATCAGAACAGCAGCAGATTTGTTGTCGCGAAAGAAACGTCTAGAAGAACGATGAGCAATCAGACGTGTCTTCTGCGCGTGTGATTGATTCTTCGGTCTTAATCTCCCACCATTTTTGTGGCGGGCGTCCTTTGTGCGCGGCGGACGTGGTCTCTTCGCCAGGAGTGGCGGCGGCGGCGGCGGCGGCCAAAATAACGCAGCCCGTTGCGGAAACATCTCGTGGGGAGAGCGATTGCTGGGGAGGGGATGTTGAAGTTCAGTGTGCAGTAAACAAACATTCTTTGGAGGGTGGAAAGAAATGTACCGTAAACGTTCCTCGCATATATGAAACTAACACTAATTTAATTTTTTATACTTGAAAGTTGAGAGCGGGTCATTCCACGTGCTTAGCACAAAAAAAGTCGTTGTTTATTAGATAAAGATTTTGTAATAAGTTGAGAAAAAAGAAGATAGAAGATGGAGAAAGTAATAGATGGAGAAGAAGATAAATATAAACGCATCCAGACGGTGGCAGGATTTACGACTCGAGCTTCTCAGCTAGGTCGAATTTGGGAAGGAGAAGTCTGGAGGAGAATTCATGCTCTGATCGGTATCGGTGTTTCCGTGGTGTCTCTGATCAACACCAGGCAAATGCCGCAGCAGTACTCTACCAATCGCGTCACGAACTATTCGCGATCTTTCCTTCCTCTTCCTTGTCGTGTCCTCACCCCTTACTAACACACACTTTCATTAACATGCACTCCACTAGCACACATGCTAGGAGACCGTTCGGGAGCTTAGAGCTTTTCCCGGCTGGGAAGGTGCCCCGCTCGTGGGAGATACCGGGTTGGAGAAAACCCCGCGAGCCACGTTAAGTGGATGCCGGAACTCACCAGATGGTGGAGCACCTCCACCACCTTTCGAGCAAAAACTTATGCTATACTTACGGGACTAATGCCCTGGCAGTCGTGCCTATAGTCGTGCCCGGAGTCACTACTAATCAATCAATAAGAGAAGTTAGAAGAGTGAAGAATAAGGAGAGGAGGCAAAGGAGAAAGAAGTAGAGAATTAACAAGTAGATAAATGAAAAGAAAAAAGTCATCATCATTGCAGCATAACAAGAACAAGAGTAATAGAGTAGAGTTGCGTGAGTTGCCCCACGCTGCCGTGGGCTGCACTGAAAAGCGCATTGCAGGCGGCTGCGGGGCCAGCGCTAAAACTGTTAGTACACCGAGGTATGAAGCAGCTACGGGCTCTCGTCGCCGTGGGGGGGGGGCGGTAGTCCTTGACGGTTCCCCCACAAAAAGCTAGGCTCTGTCTGACCTGACTCCCTCCGCACCACGCCCCGCCTCCCGCACGGATTGGACTCCTGGCCGCACTCCCGTTCTTCCTCACCTGACTTCACCACACCCCACCCTGCCACCTGCACCCGCCGTCTCAATCACGTTGTTGCTTATCATTTCGGCTTCCGTGCCATCTTCCCCTGACTCCTTCACTGTTCTGTACCAGTTTTCCCACCCGTTCCCACTTCATTCAGACACTCCTCTTCCCTCTGGCTTCATTACGCCCCTTTCCGCCCCATTCCACCTATCTGAGCCTTCCCGCTATCTTTCCACAGCAACCTCCTGCCCCTCCTGCCCTCCTCGGTCCGCCTCATCCGTCCCCAGCGCCCCCAGTCCCCTTTTCATCTCTACCTCCCCTTCTAATCACTTACCGCCCTCTCCAGATTCGTTCTGTCCCGTCCCGGTTTGTCCGCACTCTACCTTGCCCGCTCTATTATTTTTATTATACCATTAAACTACTATTGGTTTTATTATTGTTCCATTATTATTATTATTTATATTATTATTATTGTTGAATAATTTGCATGAGAGTTATACTATTACCTTATTTGTGTAATTAGTTCCTCCGGGTTGCAGTTTAAATAAATTTATCCTATCTTATCTTACATGTGTCACCCTTCGCCCTCTCCTCCACGCGCTGCACCTTGTTCCTTTCCATCCTCTCCATCCCCTCCAG